AGGGACGGCTAGCGCAGATAGCCCTCGTGTAGCTTTGCGCGAAATTCAAAAACAAATAAACAAACAAACAAACCACCGCAGATTGCGAGTCAGCGCCTTAGCCGTCAGGCCCTGCCAGGCCTCTTTTTCTCAGGGCATAATTACACATGAAAAACTTCGTTCGTGTTGTTATTTACAATATTCTTTCGTAGCTAATCATCAAACATTTTGTGTTTCTGTTTCTGTTTATATTTCTTACTAGCAGACGTATCTCGCGTTGCTCGGAGGAAAAATTTGAGAAATGACAACGAAAAGGAAATGAGCACAAAAACATATTTATTTCAAAACTATTATTTTTCTTAAAACATAACATAATAAATACATACACAAACAGTAATACTAAAAATGAAATAACTGCATCAATGAACCTCTTTGTAAACAACGTTCCTGGTCTTGTCTTCTGGTGCAAAGTAATGCAAATGTTTTTCATTGCCTACACAAGAGCATCCAACATAAAGCTGACCATGAGAAAAGCAAGGAGTTGCCAAATTTAGTATATCCACCTTTAAAGATTGTCCTTGAGCCATGTTAATGGATATTGCAAAGCTGAACTGGATGGAGAATTGAAGTCTCTTGAACCCAAAGGCTGTGTAAGTTGGGATTATAGTTATCCGAGGCATCTTCACTTTTGAAATTGCCTGTAATGATTGTAGCTTTGATGACATGAGAAAGTAATTCTTTCACAATTAACCTTGTGCCATTGCATAGCTTAGGTGGGTCCAAGTTTCTCAAAAGCATGATAGGTGCCTCAATTTTGAATAACAAGTTGCAGGGAGTTCAAGAATTCAACTGGATAGTGAACAACTTGGTCAGGGTTCAACACTGAGTCAATGGATTTGTAGGACTTGTTCTCTCCAGGTAATTTCTGTAACAACCTGGAATTTATCCTGTCAACAGCATCATTTTTGGGAGCCAAAATACCCCTCTCCCGTAGCCAGATAATGTCTTGGAAATGTTGTTGCATATTTGGGAACACCCTTTACTCTAGCTCCTTTCCTAAAGTGGAAAAGATACCTTTAGGCATGGTGATAAGTTCATCTGTGCCTTCAGCAAAAAATATTTCCATTTCCAATGTCAAGAAGAGGTGCAGCAAAGTTTCCTGCTTCTTAGTCTCCATGGAGATACACTCGCATGTTTGTAGTTAGCTTCAGTTTAAAGTCCAAAGGAATGATGACTTGATGCAGGCATTCAACTCATCAGCTTTGGTTCCTCGAGGTACAACAGAAGTCACCACTCATGAGAAACGTTACACCATCCATAATCCTGACATTGCCCCGAAGGTCCTGCAAAGTTGTGTTGAAAGCCTCAAATGTTTTTTTGTGAGACATGGTACATTCATCCCACACTATTAATTCATAACCAACCAGGACTTATACAAGGGCAGTCTTCTTTGAAATGTTGCAAACAGGGGACTCTTTTCAGGATAGCTATAATGGAATCTTGGGTGTGGAATGGGCAGTTTTTCCCAGTAAACAGAATGATGTCACAGCTAGAGCAATTTTTTCCCTCTAACGAACCTTAGCCAGGAGCAGGTTAAGAATAAATGTCTTCCCAGTGCCGCCAGGGTCATCAAGGAGAAACATGCCTTCATTTTTTAGACTCAATGTTTTCCAAGATTTTCGTGTAGGCCTATCTCTGTTCATTCATCAGCTTTGGCGTATTTTCCTCAATAAAGTCAAGAAGATCCAAAACATCATAGGAAATTTCACATAGGATCTCTTGGGCAGAGACATGCTGGTTGTCTCCGGAGGGTGTTGGTAGTCTCATAAACTTAAGGTCTTTTCCACCAATGGAGAGAAGTTTGTCTTCAATGAGTATGAAGGCCCGATTAAAGATGATATCAGAAAAGTTCACTTCGAGGTTGAGATTTTCTCTCTGAGCTCTGTGGAGGATGTTCTCGTTTATATCTTCCTTGTATTTCTGTCAGAGTCCCATGGGGTTGGATGGGCTGCAAACTTGAAGAATGATGTAGAAGAGCAATCTCAGTTGAGAAGGGGACTGATTAACAGTAGCCTCTATCATGGCTTCATCAAGGTGTTGATCATCTTCAAGGATATCACAAAGATGGCAAGCTTCCCTGTATGTTTGAAAGACAACTCCTTCCATTGTTCTGAGGTTTTGGAATGCTTTGGCCCTTTGACAACATGGAGAAGCATTTGCAGAAAGTAGCACTCCTGGTTGTTGGAATGAACTGTGTAGACTTTTCCTGAGGCATCAGATTCAACATCACCAACACGTCGTTTCCATTTGTTTTGAGCAGTCCATATGTAGTAGGTGGGAACTTTATGATAGCTCAACAATGCTATAAGAGTTGCATTTTTGGGAGTAAAGACCTGTTCTTTAGCAATTACCTCGGTGAAGTAGATGTGTTGAACATTTTCGAGATGAACTGCCAAATGAACCACTGTGGGAGAACGCTCATGGATGGGGAAGCCAAAATTTATTCATTTGGTCTCATTGCTTCTGATGTATTTTCCCATGACAAAAAGCTGAACTTCATCCACACTTCCCCGTTTCTTTGAAAGGCAAAAACAGCCATGTCAGATCCTTTGTTGATATATTTGCAAACATATTTGATGGATTTCACAGAATGGCAGAATTCCACATTGATGTGGGTCTCAAAGATCCTGCACAGAAAAGGACAGTAGAGAATGATCCATCAGTTGTCAACCTTCATTTCAAAATTAGTGACAGGTTTGATTAGTGACAGGTCTGAGTGTTGTTTCAAAACCACCATCTTCAGGTTTTCTGAGATGATATAAAGGATAGATATCATGTCCTGTCTGAGTTTCTTGCAAGACGTTTCTCTGATACTTCTTGGTGCACTTGGAGTCTTGCATACAGGGTGAATTTTAAATTGAGCTCCCCACATGGGCCATGGATCATTTGCTTGTAGAATACATCAAATAGGCCACGGTCAGGTAGCTCAATACTGATAAATGTATCAATCTTACTTGCACGAATCTTTTCCCTCAACCTGACCAAGATGTGAGCATGAGGAAGGCCACGTTTTTGCCACTCACTGGTGTGCAAGTTGCATCTTTTCTTCCCGAAGACACCACCATCCTTTGTAGTGATCAGCCTCTTCAGTTCACTAATTTTGAGTTTAAACACCTTGGCAACTATGTCATGTCTCTCTGTTGGCTTTTGGTTTTGATAAAACTCAACTTGGAGCTGCTTCCATTTTTGGATTGTAAGTGAAATATCCTTGTTTCTTTGTTGTTGAGACTCTCTCTTCTGTTTGGTTTGTTCGCCACAATGTCACTCTTTTTGTGAATGTCTTGGGTTTGGAGAGGCCGGGCTTCTTACATTTTGGCATTTTTGGGAGTGATTTATAGGGAAAACGGGTGGAAAAAGTCCAGAGTGTAAAGGACGATGTATATATATATATTGTTTTGAAGTGAAAAAGATAGTTTCATTGGTCAAAGGGTTAAGGACGTGGTTCTGCACATGCACAGATTCACGCTTTGGGGTTCAGTTCTAATATGATTACAACCGACTTGGGTCCAAAGCCATCTGCCTATCAATTTTCAGGTTGACCAGTGAAAGCGTTAAAACATTAGTTCTGCACATGCGCAGTTACGTCTTTGGGGATCATGCTATAGCACATCTTCACCGTAGGGAAGTGAGCTTTCGTCCTACAAGGTTTCACTTTCCTAGATCAAAGTATTTAGGATATAATTCAGCGCATTTGCAGATGCGCATTTAGCGGCCCAAA